AATTTTGCGTGGCATTTTTACCGTGATGCATCATGATAAGCAGTGTCTTAAAAAATCGTACTATCAGCAAAAGCACAGAAATGCTGTAAATAGCACTAGATCAGAGGCTTGACGGGATGGCTCCCGCACAGGTTTCAAAACTAATGAGCAAGACCAGTCCTCTCATGAAGCTTCAAAAAAGGCAGCTAAAAGCGTCCCAAAATGGAGTGGTAAATTTTGATGTTTAGAGCTGCTCGTAGTCATCCTGACTGCCATCTTTGTGGTTAACATTGTCATGCTTGAAAGACACGAAATACTGTAAATATCAGTATATCCAAGGCCTAGTGGGATGCTGATAATCATGTCTGTTCCTGTTGTTGTAACCGTGATGCCCATGATGATGCTGAGCGTATTTTGGTTGTTTTTGGCCGCCTCGGCGCCCAGGTCCCGATGATAAGTTTTCGCACCGTAAAACGCCTGAAAGCAAGGGAATACTGTAAATATCAGTAGATTTGAGGCTCCTGTACTTCACCGCTCTTGACCAAAATGCACCACAACGTGGCGTCAGATAGGTACGGAACACGTAATAGTAGTAGTAGTAGTAGTAGTAGTAGTAGTCCCACGGTGGGTTTATTGGGGGAATGTTTGGGGTCTACTTGTTTTCATTTTTGGGCGTCTATATGGGTTTTACTTGGGATCCGTTGTCATTATTTGGAGTCTATTGGGGGTCTATTGGGGGTATGTTTGGGGTCTATTTGTGGTCTTGGTATTTGTTTGGGGAACTGAGTTGGGTTCTGCAACACATTACAACAGTTGATTGTGCAACCGGTGCGCTGATGAACCCTCCGACAGGCATATTGTAGTCTTGCCACGAAATCGTTTTGCATTCGTAGCACTTGTAATCTCTCTAGGAATTATTCAAGGATTCAGGGATCTGGGTTTGCGGGTTGCAGACAGGCCGTCGTCCTGCATCCAGAAGATGTGCGCGAAGTGCCGAAGATCAGGCGCCTGTGGCTGCATGAGCTTCGTGTGCTGCTGAGCTTGTCTGGCACGTGCGCCGTCACGCTTCCTGGAAAGCTCATGCAACGCTACAGCGGTCTCTTCCAGGCCATCAGGGACCTCCGCAGCGAGCACCGTCCCCTCCAGGTAACAGTGGGCCAGGTGCTTGTATGTCTTGGCTTCCAGGAACTGCTTCTCATTCTTCAAGCGCTCATCCGTTTCCATGATATCCCCGATGGCGCGGTCTGCGAACTCCGCAACTTCATCGGCAGAGCGCAGAACCATACCTTGCTGTACGGCCTTGCGGCGCTTCTGCAGGAATGCGGACTCCGTGCCCTGCAAGGGAACCCTATTACGACCCAGCAGTTGCCACAGACTAACTTCAACCCCAAACCCTAGAGCCTCAGCCGCCCGCTTGCCAGGGCGAAGGACACCCTTGTCAATGCGAGGGGCGCTGCTGGATGTGTCCCGTGGCTTACCAAAGAAGACAGGCCATAGCTTGGACGCCATGCTGCAAATGTGCCCTTTCTCCTTCGTGTCCGCGTCCAGAATCACCTTGATATCAGCGAAGCGGTGAGCTGGCGTCAGGGTTCGTTCTGGCCCAACCCTCCTGTCAATTGTGCTGAAGCATTGCTCCACACCGGCCGTGCCGCATCCTTGGTAGGCCGCATACTTGACCATGACCGCTTTCAGAGCGTCGCACGGATGCCGTGCACGCGTGTCCTTGCGGGCCTGGGTCTTCATCAAGGCGCTTCGCCATGCATCCAAGTTGCCTGCCCCAGTGCTCTGCTTCAGCTGCAGCGCAATTGGACGGTGATCACTGATCTGGTCGTTCAGGGACTGGGCATCAAGACTGAAGGCTTGAGCTAGCCTCTGCACTGCCGCAGCATGGTACTCCCTCACGTCATCCTGACTCTCCGGGTCGGCATGCAACTCAAAGACCACAAATGCTGCCAGGATCTCGTAGTGAGGGAATTCTGCACGCAGCGCGGACCCCAGCATGGAGACCCACTGGCGAAGGTGCTGCGTGCACCAAGCCTTCTTCGCTGCATCCACCTAGAGCATTTCTTGACTGAGGATATTCGAATCGCTCAAAGTTTGAGCACTTAAACATACACGGAGTTTGCCTTAAGCCCGCCTTCCCGGGGCCGCCCAGCGTCCTGGCCTCACCTCCCAGCATAAAGCCGCGAGAGGAAGAGAGCAGCTGCAGGCAGTGCTTCGTGTAGCCACCCAGCTCGTAAACCTTCTCCTCGTTAAAGAGGACGTGCACGCGAGACATGAAAAGACGGATCTGGAATGCCACCTCGGCCAGCTCGTAGCCTTCCTCGCCGAAGAACCTCAAAAGACGAACGGCCTCGTCAGCAGCATCCGCCATCATGGCGGCTAGGAGGAGCTCCCGTTCTCCGATGGTTTCAAGGAATGTCACCGCATTCGGGTCTTTGCAATGCACCACCAACCACACAGCAGTGGTCAATAGAGCGTCCAGATGTAGGATTGCTCGTCCAAGCGGCTTGGAGATACTGCTGAATCGGTGTTTGGCCCAGGAAAGGTGCTTGATGCGAGACCCTGTGACCGCATTGTGCTGCGAGGCCTCGCAGAAGTTCTGGAAAACCTGTTGCAGATGCGGTGAGAACTGGATGCGCCCAACCAAGGACGTGCTCGACATGCAAAAGACGTCTAGGATCTCCTTGACTGCTAGGTCCGCGGCCCAGGGGCGGCTTAGCAGCCTCTGGCATGCATGGGCACGGTCGCGGGTAATAAAACGCAAGTTCGGCAGGATGCCAGTCGTGCGAAGGAGTTGGCCTGCTAGCTGCTCTGTACTGGCAGCGTCAGCACAAAAGAGTTCGGTGCGGGCCCGCAGCCGCTCTAGCAAAGCCTCATCGACAGTGCCATCGGCATGCACAGCAAAGCCTTGGATCATCTGGTCCACGACCGAGGCCACTGCAGAACTGCCACTGCCGGTCCCACAGACTGGTAGCCTAAGATTCCATTCCTGCATTGTAGCTCTGCATTTGCGGCGCGGAATCGCAATAGCAGGTGATGCTGTCGCTCATCTTGGTAGATGGCTATGGTTTCAGCGCCCCGGAGAAAAGCTCTGTCAATCTCCGTCACAGCTTGCCCCAGCGCAAAAACCATGTCTGTCACCTTATGTCGGCCGCCAACGCCCTTGACACCCTTGTTGAAAGAACCGCCTTTTTTGCGATCCTCGAACACCAGCTCAAACGCGTGAAGTGGAGGCGCCAGCGACTTGTCTTCCCCACTAGAGGATGCATAGCCCGCTGCCACCAGAGCAGCTGCACGCTGCTCGCTTGCATGGTGGCGCTTCAGGTTGCCAAGCAGGGGATGGGCAACGCCCGGCTCAGCAAGTTCATTCTGCTGCCCCGTCTGCTGACACACGCTGCATCTAAGTTTCCAGGCGCCATTATCATCCAGCGTGCTCAACAGCCACGAGCGACCCTGCGAACCCAGCGGCAAAGCCTTGTGCCACGCACACACGTTGCGAACAAAGCTGCAGCGGCCACACCCGCGCTGGCTACAGTAGCTGTAGTGCTCCAAGTCTGCAAACAGAAGGCCTGGCATGTTCTGCACGCGGCCTTTTTTGAGCCGACCTCGGGCAGTGCTGCTTCCACGACTTCCAAAGGCGCCTTCGGACCATGAACCACGGGCTTCTCCGAAGCAGGAGAGACTGCAGCGCAGAGAGATTTCTTGCTGTTCTCGCTGAGAGAGCATCGAAAGCCAGGAATAAGTTTCATGGCTCCCGGAAACTCAAGCAGCGCCAAGTCCCTACTTGGCGCGCAGACTGCCCAGCCAACAGCTATGGCACACAACGATTCTGCGAAAGTCCCAGACTGCTTGACAACACCTGCCTACGAGGCCAAGAAAGGCTAGACTGACAATGACGCTGGCCATGCGATTGATTTGTTGCGGCCCGGCTGACTCTAGTGATCACTTACTGGGATGCCTCACTATCTGAGGCCTCGCCAATCAGGCAGAAATGGTCCCTCTCCAGGAGCTCCTGAAGAACAGCCCACTTCCAGCGGCTGATCTCCTGCGAGAGTGCTTCCAAGTCACACAGCCGGCTGCACAAGTCGGAACTACCAATCTGGGAGATATTAGCAGGAGTGCCTTGCACAGACACAATGCGCGTGTCTGGCGTTCCCCCCACGCTCAGCACTTCAGCTCGGAGTTCACCCAATCCAAGAACTTCCTGGCCCGACAATCTCTTGCTCGCCTCCTGGATGTCCGAGAACGACACCGACGGAGACTTCAAGCGCAAGGCAAGCATCCACCTAATGACAGGAAATGCAAAGCAGAGGATAATCTTTAAGGTGACGCTGGATATCCCCACTTAACCCCAGTGCCCCCCCCTCAACAAAGTTTGTTTATGGCGCCCCGCTTAAATCAATTTCACATTGCATCACAGCAGCCGGTGGTGCATGGGAAGCTTGGCATTTGTGGCCCGCTGGTACTGCTCCGTAAGATTGCGCATCTGCTTCCCCGTCTTGGTCCGCGGATCTTTTTTTTGTGTGGCAGAGACCTTGTTCTTGGCCACAGTTGCTGCGCCTTTTCGGGCAGAGGCCACGCTCTCAGCCTGATTGCCACTGCACGGGGACTGCCAAGCGGGAGCCAAAACTTGCTTGGGATTACGCATGACGCGTCCACCGGAAGCATGCATGACTGCGTAGTAACACTTGAAGGGCGGCACGTTTCCCGTGCCGGCCGCACAAGTCAGCAACTAACTGAAAGTCAGCACAGCAGTTCATGCAGTGATTGCGCAGTTTATGCATGAAGCTACAAGTGCCTGGGGTTCAAAGATAACAAATGCAGTCACTGATAGCACTGACTACACCAGTGGGCCTTGTCTCCACGACGTGGATGAGCTGTCGCCGCCACACCTGCGCCGCAACTCTTTGCAGACCCTGCCTAACTTTAAGGATGCATGCGTGCACTTCTCTGCATAACTGCACGGCACTACAGGACTGCACTCGAACGAACTGCATGCTGTGCTCAGATGCAACCTAAGCCCTAAACCCCTACCCTAACCCCAAACCCTAAAACCTAGACCCTAAGCGCCGGGAGGGAGACAGCCTAGCTGGCCTAGCTGCCCCGCTGCGGCGGCCGTGCCTTGAATGCAGAGGCAGGCAATTGGTGCAAACCATGACTCACTTGAATGCTGTGGCCAGCACTTGCGTGTCTACGCTGTGACTCAGACTCGGCGCAGTAAGGACAGCTTCTTTTCATGATGCCAGCGCATAGGCGAGTAGATCGTGAGCCGCTAGGCAAGCGTCCAGAAAGAGGCATAGCACCTTCTAATTTTTGAATACAAAATTCCAACCCACACATTTTTCTGTGAGCACCAAAACCTCTACCCTAACCCTGGAAAGGTTTAGGGTTTTACATCCGAAGCGGAACCCAAACTCCAATTGCTTGGCCCCTGCACAACTCCGCACGCTTGACTTGGCTCAGTACATGGGGCCTACCTACTCTACGGCGTCTTCTGCGCCCCGCTTCACAGGCCTTGACCTCAACTCTGCATTCTCAGTCTCCAAGGCCGCGATGCGACCACGCAGCTTGTCTCGGTACTTTCTCTCAAAGTCGGCCCGCCCCAGAAGCTTGAGACGGTTCTGTTTATACTCCTGCCAGGCGGAGGCAAGGGGAAATGCAGAGGGCAAAGAGTCAAGATGCACAAACACATGTCCTCGACCTTCTTCTCCAGTTGCTGGCAGTCAAACTGCAGCGCGCTGACCAGCCCAGAATCGCGCATCCTCATGTTGACCTGCGCAGTCAACTGAGAATTCTTCTCGGCGAGCTCGGCAATGCGGTTCTTGGACTTCGCCAGCTGCTGCTGCGTCTCTGTGAGCTGCGCTGTCACCTCCTTCAGGTTCTTTGCCAGGCAGGCTTCGTAGTCCTTTGACAGCGACTCTTCAAGATTCTTCATGCGGCGACCGTGCACCTCTTCGAATCTTTCCTTGGGTACACGGCATCAACCAGAAACTTTCATCAACAACTGCCCAAGCAGTCTAAGTAACTTACAGAAAGCACGCTGCGGTCGGGAGGCCATGAGTTTCTCCACATCCGCTGCATGATTCTTCTCCATCTCCTCCTGAGAAGGAAACAGCCACAGACACGGAAGGCAATCGCAACCTTAAATAACGACTCCTCTAGCTGATTCAGCTCGCGATCGTGGCGCTCGACGGACGACTCCTGCTACTAGGGATGCTGGGCTCACATCAATCAGGGCCATCTATTTGTCAGAAAATGGGGTCCTTGAACTCTCGGATCTTCTCTGACAGCTGCTCATCGTGCTCCTTTTGCAGCCGCTCCTGGGAGAAGCACAAGAGTGACCGCCCTCCTTGCATCAGCCCTAACCCCGCTCCTTGGTTTCCTGGAGCTCTTTCTCGTGGGCCTCCTGAAGTGCCTGCGTTGCAACGGAATGACAAGTGACCTTCTGACAAGTCCGGACACAGCTCGCCTCGATCTCAGCCTGAAGTTCAGCCGATGCTCTGCGCTCATTTGTCTTGCGCATACGAGCGGGCCCTGCGCGGCTGGAGCTGCTCCTGCGAATGTGGGCTCGGGGGAAAGGCGCCAGTAAGCCCCTTATAAACCCTAATAGGGCCTTAAACCCTTAACCCTAAGCGTAGAGTCAGCAGAGTCGTGCCTCGATGCCCGATTGGCACCAGTGCCTCCAGGCGGCTCCTGCCACCAGCATCCGGACTCATCTTGATGCCACGCACCGCCCGGCTGCTGGGCAGCCCAAAACGCACCCTCATGCCAGACCCAGCGAGGATCTCGAGAGCGATCCATGACAAAGCAGCAAGAACGAGTTCAGGATAATGCGCTAGCGTTATGTGACAGGTGGCTTGCAAAATGCACTGAGACCGGGCCAGGAATTTCTAGCCGCATTACCTCCAAGAGTAGAAGGATGTAGTACTAGGGCCTACAAGTAAGTGTACAACAGGCTGACGTACAGAAGAATTGATTCCAGCAATGGATTAATGATGTTGTGTGGCTCGGATACGAATTCAGACAAAAACCCCATATTCTATCTACTTAAGCGGGACTATAAGACACTGAATCACACGAACATGTCATTTCACAAGAGCCCCAACTCTCTGGAATGCATGATGGTGCTGACTCACACATGCCCGGGACATGCCAAAATCCGTTCTGCAGGCTTACAACGCACCAATGCTTGTCGAGCTGCCATCCCGGTCAGCGCGGCGCTGCTGGCAGGCCCAAGCCTCAGAAGCAACACAGTCTAAGGGATCTATCCAGGTTGAAGGATGTGGGTAATCCAGGCAAACTCAATGTGTTCTGGGCCCTAGAATTGAGTTGCGCCACGGATCATCACACAACAATGGCTAAGTCTCTAGCTGTAGCCTAACATCATCGTCACAAGAGCGGAAAGCCCTGATGATCAATTCTGAAATTAGGGCTATGGCTGAGGGCTCAGAATTTAGCGCTTTAGGGCTTTGGGCTCATTAGGCTCAGGCTTTCAAAAAGTGCAGCTGGCCTAATCGCGCTGGGCTAGCCTGCTAGACATTGCTGGCGTGTCAGGTTTTGAGGATCTTTGCGGCACGTGGTCCGCGCCGGCAGTCGCTTGAAAAATGACACTTTAATCATAGATCCAATTACAACAGCCACTTGTGTTAAGCTCTTTATGACAGGGCTCTGGCTTGAAGCCGCCTCCGAGGACCGGCAGCATCATCATGGCCTGCGAGACAACCACTTCTGCTTCCACTTCCAGAGCACTGCCGAAATGCACTTCCAAAACCTCC